TCGATAGGTCTGGGTAATCTTTTGAATACGTATCGTGCTAGGGATAGATTATTGCAATTATTAATCTTGAACGAGGAATTCCTAGTAAACGCAAGTCATCAGCTTGCATTGATTACGTCCCTGCCCTTTGTACACACCGCCCGTCGCACCTACCGATTGAATGACTCGGTGAAGTATTGGGACTGTGAATTTGTGTGCTTCATTGCATGCAAGTTTGTGGGAACTTTCCTTAACCTCGCCATTTAGAGGAAGGTGAAGTCGTAACAAGGTTTCCGTAGGTGAACCTGCGGAAGGATCATTACCACACCAAAAACACCCCACGTGAATGTACTCTTTATGAGGCTTTGCGCTGCCCTTGTGGCAGCTAGCCGAAGGTTTCGCAAGAAGCCGATGTCAATTTGAATCCTTTTAAAATACGACTGATCAAAACTGCAGATAGAAATATCTGCATGCAATTGAAATACAACTTTCAACAGTGGATGTCTAGGCTCGCACACCGATGAAGAACGCTGCGAACTGCGATACGTAATGCGAATTGCAGAATTCAGTGAGTCATCAAAATTTTGAACGCATATTGCACTTCCGGGTTAGTCCTGGGAGTATGTTTGTATCAGTGTCCGTGAACACAAACTTGTTTCATTTCTTGATTGGGATGGAGCAGACTGTGAAGGTCTTGTAATTACAAGTCCTTTTAAACGACGGTACCTATGCGTCCTAGTGAGATGTATTATTTAAAGGTATGCCTGCGCTCCTTTCGAAAGTCTTGTGTGGCGGCACACAGCACTCAAAGAGAGAGCAAATCGCGGTAGTTTTGCTTGTACTTCGGTACGAGTGGACACATATTGCTTTTTGTGATTTCTGCGAGTCTGTTGTCAAAGTACAAGGCACGTAAGGAGAGTTGGTATGCTGGTGCATTTCTTGGCGTATGGAGGCAAATTGGGAATTCAATCCAATTTGGACCTGATATCAAACAAGACTACCCGCTGAACTTAAGCATATCATTAAGCGGAGGAAAAGAAACTAACAAGGATTCCCCAGTAACGGCGAGTGAAGCGGGAAGAGCTCAAGCTTAAAATCTCCATACTTGTATGGCGAA